CACAGCTATTTCTGTGACCAGTCACAAGCTAATCACTCAGCTATTTCAATGCTAAATTCTCCTGTTTGATTTGTGCTAGGTGCCTCTGTGGATGTGTAGGCTTTGACTTTAACACAACTATTTCTGTGACCAGTCACAAGCTAATCACTCAGCTATTTCAATGCTAAATTCTCCTGTTTGATTTGTACTAGGTGCCTCTGTGGATGTGTAGGCTTCGACTTTAACACAGCTATTTCTGTGACCAGTCACAAGCTAATCCCTCAGCTATTTCAATGCTAAATTATCCTGTTTGATTTGTACTAGGTGCCTCTGTGGATGTGTAGGCTTTGACTTTAACACAGCTATTTCTGTGACCAGTGACAAGCTAATCACTCAGCTATTTCAATGCTAAATTATCCTGTTTGATTGTACTAGGTGCCACTGTGGATGTGTAGGCTTTGACTTTAACACAGCTATTTCTGTGACCAGTTACAAGCAAATCACTCAGCTATTTCAATGCTAAATTATCCTGTTTGATTTGTACTAGGTGCCTCTGTGGATGTGTAGGCTTTGACTTTAACACAGCTATTTCTGTGACCATTCACAAGCTAATCACTCAGCTATTTCAATGCTAAATGCTCTTGTTTGATTTGTACTAGGTGCCTCTGTGGATGTGTAGGCTTTGACTTTAACACAGCTATTTCTGTGACCAGTCACAAGCTAATCACTCAGCTATTTCAATGATAAAAAACTCCTGTTTGATTTGTACTAGCTGCCTCTGTGGATGTGTAGGCATTGGCTTTAACATAGCCATTCCCGTGACCAGTCACAAGCTAATCCCTCAACTGTTTCAATGCTAAATTCTCCTGTTTGATATGTAAACTCCTTTGTCAAGGTGCCTCACTTCTCTCAACCAGCTTAAAAAGACGCTGCGAATCTTAGCAGCGTTCATTGCAGCTCTGTCGTCCAGACAAGGTTTGTTCCTTTCACCTGAAGAAGGCCGCTTGTGTTGTGGCCGAAACTTCGTGAGAATTTTATTGTTCTATTCTATTATTTTATTCTCATTCCACGTGACTTTACCGAAGGAACCAAAGAAGATTAAATGCGTAGTTAAGTTTTGTGGTATTTTAAAAAGATAAAAAAAAAACATGTTCATAGATTAGTTTTAGACTCCGGATCACACTTCCATACATCCCTCCACATCAGCCGGCACGGCACGGCTCCATTGCAGCCACAGGGAGGAGTGAACGGCTGAATTTCTCCAACCTTTGATGCGCTGCAAAGTTCCGGCAACGATCAGCAACCACCCACCCACCCACCCACACCGCCCCGCACCTCGCCTCTGGATTGATATCTGGGCCTTTAAAAGGTGACTCAACGAGGACGATTCCTCTAATCTCCTCCAGAGAAGTCACTTCAGCCAGAGCCTAGGGACAGAACGCTCATCGAGAGACACCGGCATCTGATTAGTGAGCGTACGTTTTTGTTGTTGTTGTTGTTGTAAACCAAGTTTAGTTTTTGTATTTTAAAAGGTAAGGCCCCAACTGAGCTACGTGCCTCTTTTTCAGGAGCCACCTGGATAATCGCGGACGATAGCAGCTCCACCAAGTGGCTGATCATCGTCCATCGCGTGGGAATTTCTGGCAGCAAGTTAAATCACTCCCAGTGCGTAGAGACGTCGATTATAAATGTGGCGGTGGTGGTGGCGGGGTGGTGGTGGTGGTGGTGGTGGCGGGGTGGTGGTGGAGGTGGTGGTGGTGGTTGTGGTGGTGGTGGTGGTGGGGTGGTGGTGGTGGTGATGGGGTGGTGGTGGTGGCGGTGGTGGTGGTGGTGGCGGGGTGGTGGTGGAGGTGGTGGTGGTGGTTGTGGTGGTGGTGGCGGGGTGGTGGTGGTGGTGGCGGTGGTGGTTGTGGTGGTGGTGGTGGTGGCGGCGTGGTGGTGGCGGTGAATGCGCTGGTGATGGTGGTAGTGATGAAGGTGGTGGTGGTGAAGGTGGTGGTGGTGGTGGTGGCGGGGTGGTGGTGGAGGTGGTGGTGGTGGTTGTGGTGGTGGTGGTGGTGGTGGCGGTGGTTGTGGTGGTGGTGGTGGTGGTGGAAACCTGAGGGCCTCTTGAAAATAAATCAACGTGACCACGGGACAGAGATTGAGAGACACGCACGCTCCGAATATACAGCAGCAGGCGTCAGGATCCGGATGAAACGCACGACCTCCTGTACACCGGGTGAGGTAGTTGATATTTCCTGGACACTGCGGCACCCCGAACGACATTAATCGGCTCGGTGGGTGATGCGGGAATCGGTCAGGTGGGGTCACCCAAATATTTGACCCATCCGTCACGACATACATAGTCCAGCAGATGCGCTCGCTTTGGACCACCGGGGCGTGCATCCATGATGTTGCGTGGATGATGCGCCGATGCCGGAACGCCCGTGGGTTGGTAACCACAAGCCCACGGGCTGGCTGTTGCAGAAAAAAACTGGCCCATGCCTTCCAATCACTCCGTCCCAGTTGCCCGTGCCATGACCCCACTCGGGAATTAAAGTCACCCAACAGGATGGCGATATCTCCGAGGGGTCAACTTTTGCAAGCCATAGAAGGCATCTGACTCACAAGCCTTGGCTGAATCGCACCACTGATGTTCATCTTGAGTGGGGTTTAGGCAAACCACCACCACCACCACCACCACCGCCGCCGCCGCAATTCCTCATCGCCCGTCGATAGGGAGGGCGAGACCCACAATAAGCCTCGGGGCTCGCAGCTTCTCACGCCTCTCCTCCTTGCTCCCACACCACCCTTCCTCAATTAATTTTGTTTTTCCCAGTTTACCGCAGGACTGCCAACCCCCGCGTGCTAAGAACTGGAATGAAAACCGGTCCTCCCGGACCTCCTGTACTCCACAGAGTTCCAGGCGGCACCTGTCCAGCTCCCGACTGAGGAATACCACCCTCTCCTCTACACACACACACACCAGAACAAGTGCTTGAAGACCTCCGATATTCCCCATGAGGCCTCTATTGCCAGTAGCAAAATATAATAATAGGTTTTTTTTCCCCCTTTTTGTTCTTGCAACAAAACTGAACCTGTTTTTTTTTCTTCTTTGGTTCTTTCGGTAAAGTCACGTAGAATGAGAATAAAATAATAAATTGATAAAATAAAATAACACAATAATATTCTCACGACGTTTCGGCCACAACACAAGCGGCCTTCATCAGGTGAAGGGGGCGAGACTGTCTGGTAGGACAGCGCTGGAGTGACACTCCATCTTCACCTGATGAAGGCCGCTTGTGTTGTGGCCGAAACGTCGTGAGAATATTATTGTGTTATTTTATTTTATCAATTTATTATTTTATTCTCATTCTACGTGGTGGTGGTGACTTTACCGAAAAGAACCAAAGAAGATGAATCATTGCAGTCACGAAAGCTTTAAATCGAAATTGAACCTGTTTTTGTTTTACGAGGATTCATGTTCGCATTAACCACAATGCCTGAGGTCAGAATGCAAACAGAAAAAAACAACACTGATAATGTACGTGTCAATGTCCTTGAAATCGATTGGTCCACACCAGAGACAGCTTTCCTTCGAGCCCAGTCTCACGTTGGTGTTGGACCAGATGACGCCATAAAGGTACCGGGTCCAGCTACGGACAGAGGAATGGCAGCCTCTCCTCTTCACACACACACACACCACACACCACACACCAGAGCAAGTCCATCAGACATCCTGTATTTGTACAAAGGTCTCTGCGGTACCAGTCCAGCTCCCGACAGAGGTATTTGCAGCCTCTCGTCTGCAGTGAGCGCTCGGACATTCCGACCTGGCCATTTTGCAGTGAGTTCGCTGCTGTTCCTGGAGGACGCCCGATGGCACAGGGCCAGCCTCCTGGCTCTGCCAAATGTGGAATGGCCAGGAGACATCATAGACGCCTGTCCCCCCCCCCCCGCCCCGCCCCGCCCCGGGGCCTTCGGGACGAGCTTAATTGAATCATTAACCACGTGGTTCTTTGGTAATTTGCTTAAAGGTTTAGGGGTTAACACCCCCCCCCCCCCCTCGCACCCATCCAAAGCCACCCACCCATTCACCACGAAAACCAAAGATTTCCTCCCTTATAGGTTTAAATGGCTGTTGGGGCAAGTGCTGTTAGTGAGTAGCAGCACCTATGCAGGCGGGCAAAGAAACACGAAGGGTGGGTGGCCAGCACCAAGCCTGGGTTGGTTTTTTTTGTCTCCCGAGTGGCGATGTCTTCACACCGCGCCATGGTTCTCACTTGAGGCTGAGTCGATCTAGGGATGGCCCGTAACCGGCTCAGACTTTCGTCAAGCGATATTGGTAGTGCAGCGAGCTGATCTCTACGATAGCCACTGACCCATCAAGTCACCCGCCCTCTCATTCACTCACTCGAACTAAACAATTTCCAACTAAACAATGCATTTATTGCGCAGGGCAAAGCCCACTGAGCCATGTAAATCTTCTTCAGAAGCGGTCTGGCAATCGCAAATGATAGCTCAATGAAGCAGCTTATCAAGTGGAAACTTATGGCGGTCAAATACCGTAAAATGCACGACGTTTTTGTCACGTTTTTCGTCACGTTTTTGGACGCGTTTTTGGTCACGATTTTGACTGTCATGCTCACAGCTCATCGGATTCCTCCTCCAGCCTGAGTGCATTCTCTGATTCTAAACGTGGAGGGAAAAAAAAAAAACCAGGGGACACCGATAAAAAATCCACGCGACCACAGGGAGAGAGAGAGAGAGAGAAAAACGCTGGACTCCAAATATACAGCAGCAGGCATCGTCAGGGTCGGGATCGCCAGAAGCGACCCGGCTATCACAAGTTAAAGCTCAACGAAGTGGCTTATCAACTCGTCAAAATGTATAGCAGCAGCAGCAGTAGCAGCAGGCGCCATGGTCGGGCATCGAACCCCACGACCTCCTGCACACCGAGGCGAGGTAGTCAACATCTCTCCTAGCCACCGCCGCCCACCCACCCGACTCACCGTCACCCTCGCCACCACAAAACTCACTCAATGCTCTTTGGGAACGATGGCAGCTTGACGCCTCCGATGTCCTGGACGTTGATGGCCGTGGGCTCGGCAGAGATGGCCTGTCTCTTGCTCCTCTGAGGCTCGTGTCCTACTCCCCCGCTCCCTCCACCGACTCTCCCGACAGCCTCGTGTGTCCCACCCATCACTCCACCAACAATGCCGCCGCCGCCAACGCCAATTCCAATGTTACCAAGGTCACCGGCAATGCCACCACCGCCGCCACAACCACCAATGTCAACGTCGTCATCATCATCATCAGCGGCAGCAACGCAAGCCAACTTCAAATCCTTCAGAAGCATCTGCTGCTGCTGCTGCTGCTGGTCAAGCTGATGAATATCGTGAAGCTGATTTGCACTTTGAATTTCACAATCATGCTGCTGCTGCTGCTGCTGAAGAGGCTGCTGCTGCTGAGGCTGCTGATGAGGCTGTTGCTGCTGCTGCTGCTGCTGATGGTGCTGGTGCTGATGATGGTGGTGGTGGTGGAGCCCGCTGGGCCTCAGCAGGACCGAGCGATACTTGTCCAACTCGTTGCGCAGCTTCTGGATGAGCTCGTCCTTTTGGTCGAGCTCCAGCTCCAGCTCGTCGATGAGCTGGTCGCGTTGCCTCAGCTCCTCGATCTTGGCCTGGAGTGCGTACTGCAGGTCTCGCAGAGTGCCCATCGCTTAGCCCGGCGGCGGTTCGACCACACGGCCGGCGACGACGAGAGGGGAACGGAGCCCCTCCCACCCCCTCCCACCACCACCACCACCACCACCACCACCCACCCACCACCACCACCACCCCCCCCGAGCTCGGACGAGGTCTGATGTGACTCCGATTGACGATCAAGACGACGACGATGATGAGACCCCCCGGCCCACTTACGCAGAAAATCGAGGCCGTTTCAGGGGGGTTCTCTCGGTCGAGCGCGGTTTCACCGACGCTGCTCCAGGGTTTTGTTCGGTTTTCTTTTTTCTCCCCCCCCACCGCCCGCGCCCCCGCCCCCCCCCCCCCCCCCCCCGGCTTGGACGAGGATGTCACCAGCTCGCCGTGCCGCTCAACCGGTACAGAGTTTTGCGCGCTTCAAACAAAACTGTCCGATGCTGCCGGCGGTAAACCCGATAGAGGTTGAATCCTCGTTAGAAAAAGTGCCGTTCGGTTCGCCCTCCTGCTCAAAACGATATGAGGCTGACGCTGATGCAACCACCGATAGAGACCCTCAAAAAGGTGCAAAAAACCGGTCCAACAGTTCGCTTGCTTGTAAAAAAAAATATATATACTGGCTTTTGCTGACGAGACCCACACAAAGGTCCAACTCCTGTATTTGTGTTCATACAACGAGTGTGGTTGTCTTGTTTCAAGCTATCGGAATGTTCCAGCTGCACGTCTCTACCGGCACCTTCCTGCCAAATATTCCTTAGCTACAAAAAGCCCAGAAGAAGATTCGTATGACCCCCCTCTCTCCCCTCCACAAATTAACATTCTCATCGAATAGTCGCCTCGTTCAAACTGCTGACTTGTTCCAACTGTCGCCGTGTTCCAAGCTGCCGCGTTGTTTCCTTATCGATCCCTGTGCACAAACAGATGTACCGTTACAGTTGATACGAACTCGTGCCTTGTTCCAACCGTCTTCCTATCGTTCCGACTGCTAATTCGTTTTGCCGTTGTGCCGATAGCTCGATTGTTCAATGCAGTTTACCCTTGCTCCAATCTTTTATGTTCCGTTCCAGCAATTGACTTGTTCCAACTGCCACTCTGCTCCAAAATGCGCTTTTGTTTCAAGCGTCCATTGTAAAGGGAATTCCTTTCCGTCGCACGAGCCCCCTTGTTCCACGGTCTCCCGTGTCCGATTGCTACATTTTGCACGAGAAAACTGCTTCGTTACAACTGTCCCTTTCGGTGAAGAAACTGCCTTTGATCCCAACTGACACCTCTTGTTAAACAAGATGATTTCTCTCAACTGCCCCTGCCGTTAAAGAAACCGCTTTTGTTCCAACTGACACCCCTTGTTAAGGAAAAATGTTCTGTTCCAACTGTCTCTTTCGTTTAAGAAGCCGCTTTTGTTCCAACTGACACCTCTTGTTCAAGAAAACTGTTCTGTTCCGACTGTATCATTCGTTTAAGAAAGCGCCTTTGTTCCAACTGCCACCCCTTGTTAAAGAAAACTGTTCTGTTCCAACTGTCTCTTTAGTTTAAGAAACCGCGTTTGTTCCAACTGCCACCCCTTGTTAAAGAAAACTGTTCTGTTACAACTGTCTCTTTCGTTAAAGAAACCGCCTTTGTTCCAACTGACACCCCTTGTTAAAGAAAACTGTTCTGTTTCAACTGTATCTTTCGTTTAAGAAACCGCTTTTGTTCCAACTGACACCTCCTGTTAAAGAAAACTGTTCTGTTCCAACTGTCTCTTTCGTTAAAGAAACTGCCTTTGTTCCAACTGACACCCCTTGTTAAAGAAAACTGTTCTGTTCCAACTGTCTCTTTTGTTTTAAGAAGCCGCTTGTGTTCCAACTGACACCCCTTGTTAAAGAAAACTGTACTGTTCCAACTGTCTCTTTCGTTTAAGAAGCCGCTTTTGTTCCAACTGACACCCCTTGTTAAAGAAAACTGTTCCGTTCCAACTGTCTCTTTCGTTTAAGAAACTGCCTTTGTTCCAACTGCCACCCCTTGTTCAAGAAAACTGTTCTGTTCCGACTGTCTCTTTCGTTTAATAAAACGCTTTTGTTCCAACTGACACCCCTTGTTCAAGAAAACTGGTCTGTTCCAACTGTCTCTTTGGTTAAAGAAACCGCTTGTGTTCCAACTGCCACCCCTTGTTCAAGAAAACTGTTCTGTTCCACCTGTCTCTTTCGTTTAAGAAACCGCTTTTGTTCCAACTGCCACCTTTTTTTTTAAGAAAACTGTTCTGTTCCAACTGTCTCTTTCGTTTAAGAAACTCCCTTGGTTCCAACTGCCACCTTTTGTTCAAGAAAACTGTTTTGTTCTGACTGTCTCTTTCGTTTAAGAAACCGCCTTTGTTCCAACTGACACCCCTTGTTCAAGAAAACTGTTCTGTTCCAACTGTCTCTTTCGTTTAAGAAACCGCCTTTGTTCCAACTGACACCCCTTGTTCAAGAAAACTGTTCTGTTCCAACTGTCTCTTTCGTTTAAGAAACCGCTTTTGTTCCAACTGACACCTCCTGTTAAAGAAAACTGTTCTGTTCCAACTGTCTCTTTCGTTTTAGAAACCCCTTTTGTTCCAACTGTCCCTTTGGTTAAGAAACTCCCTTTGTTCCAACTGTCCCTTTGGTTAAAGAAACTCCCTTTGTTCCAACTGTCTCTTTCGTTTAAGAAACTGCCTTTGTTCCAACTGCCCCTTTGGTTAAAGAAAACTGTTCTGTTCCAACTGTCTCTTTGGTTAAAGAAACTCCCTTTGTTCCAACTGCCACCCCTCGTTAAAGAAACTGCCTTTGTTCAAACTGTCACCCCTCGTTAAAGAAACTCTTTTTGTTCCAACAGCCACCCCTCGTTAAAGAAACTCCCTTTGTTCCAACTGCCACCCCTCGTTAAAGAAACTCCCTTTGTTCCAACTGCCACCCCTCGTTAAAGAAACTCCCTTTGTTCCAACTGCCACCCCTTTGGTTAAAGAAACTCCCTTTGTTCCAACTGCCACCCCTCGTTAAAGAAACTCCCTTTGTTCCAACTGCCACCCCTTTGGTTAAAGAAACTCCCTTTGTTCCAACTGCCACCCCTCGTTAAAGAAACTCCCTTTGTTCCAACTGCCACCCCTTTGGTTAAAGAAACTCTCTTTGTTCCAACTGCCACCCCTCGTTAAAGAAACTCCCTTTGTTCCAACTGCCACCCCTCGTTAAAGAAACTCCCTTTGTTCCAACTGTCTCTTTCGTTTAAGAAACTCCCTTTGTTCCAACTGCCACCCCTCGTTAAAGAAACTCCCTTTGTTCCAACTGCCACCCCTCGTTAATAAAACTCCCTTTGTTCCAACTGCCACCCCTCGTTAAAGAAACTCCCTTTGTTCCAACTGTCTCTTTCGTTTAAGAAACTGCCTTTGTTCCAACTGCCCCTTTGGTTAAAGAAAACTGTTCTGTTTCAACTGTCTCTTTGGTTAAAGAAACTCCCTTTGTTCCAACTGCCACCCCTCGTTAATGAAACTCCCTTTGTTCCAACTGCCACCCCTCGTTAAATAAACTCCCTTTGTTCCAACTGCCACCCCTCGTTAAAGAAACTCCCTTTGTTCCAACTGCCACCCCTCGTTAAAGAAACTCCCTTTGTTCCAACTGCCACCTTTTGTTCAAGAAAACTGTTCTGTTCCAACTGTCTCTTTCGTTTAAGAAGCCGCTTTTGTTCCAACTGCCACCTCTTGTTCAAGAAAACTGTTCTGTTCCGACTGTATCATTCGTTTAAGAAACCGCCTTTGTTCCAACTGCCCCTTTGGTTAAAGAAACTCCCTTTGTTCCAACTGCCACCCCTCGTTAAAGAAACTCTCCCGGTTCCCAATTGGGAAGTGTTCTTCGTTCCAACTGCTGCCCCTCCTTCCGCTTGTCCCCGGGGGGGGGGGGGAGTGAGGTTCCGACTGCCCTCGCTGTTTGCTCCCAGCTGTCGCCTGGTCCAAAGCGGACTCCTTCCTTGAATCCTGTTACCGTTGAGGCCCCTTTTGCCTCGCTTCCCTGCTGATTCCTCCCTGGTGCTCCTCGCAGTCACTTCTCCTGAGCTGTCCCGCAACAAATGCGCATGCCTGCTTCACTGAGCCTCCTTGGTGCTTTCACGTTTGCTCTTCCCCCCGGGGTGCCTTCAGCGTGCTCTGTGTCCCGGCGGGTACAGCTCCGCTACGCTTCAGCGCGCTCCCGTAATGATTTCAGTTGCGAACGAATGCTTCACTTCGCTTCCCAATGCTTCTCGGCGCTTCGCCAAGCCTTCTCTGCGGTTTGTCTAACGCCCTTTGTGCTCCTCTGCGGTTTGTCTAAGACCTGTATGCTTCTCTGAGGTTTGTCTAACACCCTTTGTGCTTCTCTGCGGTTTGTCTAGCACCCTTTGAGCTCCTCTGCGGTTTGTCTAACACCCTTTGTGCTCCTCTGCGGTTTGTCTAACACCCTTTGTGCTCCTCTGCGGTTTGTCTAACACCCGTTTGCTTCTCTATGGTTTGTCTAACACCCTTTGTGCTTCCCTACGGTTTGTCTAACACCCTTTATGATTCTCTGCGGTTTGTCTAACACCCTTTGTGCTTCTCTGCGGTTTGTCTAACACCCTTTATGATTCTCTGCGGTTTGTCTAACACCCTTTATGATTCTCTGCGGTTTGTCTAACACCCGTATGCCTCTCTGCGGTGTCTAACACTCGTATGCTTCTCTACGGTTTGTCTAACACCCTTTATGCATCTCTACGGTTTGTCTAACACCCTTTATGCTTCTCTGCGGTTTGTCTAACACCCTTTGTGCGTCTCTACGGTTTATCTAACGCCCTTTGTGCTTCTCTGCGGTTTGTCTAACGCCCTTTACTGTTTTATATATATTTTATTATTATTTTGTTGTTTCCCTTCAACTTGGTGACTTTACCGAAAGAACTAAGAATATGAATTATACTGCAGTCACGAAAGCTTTAAATCAAAATTTAAACCCTTTGTGCGTCTCTACGGTTTGTCTAACACCCTTTGTGCTCCTCTGCGGTTTGTCTAACGCCCTTTGTGCGTCTCTACGGTTTGTCTAACGCCCTTTGTGCGTCTCTACGGTTTGTCTAACGCCCTTTGTGCGTCTCTACGGTTTGTCTAACGCCCGTTTGCTTCTCTGCGCTCCCCGGCGCTCCCCGGCGCTTCCCGGCGCTTCTCTGCGCCTCTCTGTGCCTCACTTTGATCCCTGCCACTTGTCGACGCTTTGCGACGCTCCGCTTCATGTAAACTCCGCTGCTGCCTTGCTCGCCGCCTCCGCCGCCTCCGCCGCCGCCTCCGCCGCCTCCGCCGCCGCCTCCGCCGCCTCCGCCGCCGCCTCCGCCGCCTCCTCCGCCTCCGCCGCCTCCGCCGCCTCCGCCGCCTCCTCCGCCGCCTCCGCCGCCTCCGCCGCCTCCTCCGCCTCCGCCGCCTCCGCCGCCTCCGCCGCCTCCTCCGCCTCCGCCGCCTCCGCCGCCTCCTCCTCGGCCTCCGCTAATCTCCGGCTCGCCTCACCGTGCTCCTCGGCGCTTCGGTCTGCTCCCCCTTGCTTCTCGACGCTTCGCTCCGCATCGCCAAATCTCTGCTCCCGCTGCGCTTCCCTTTGGCTTCCCTCTCCCCCACGCCCGCCCGCCCGCCCCTCCACTGCGCTTCAACTTGCTTCACGCTCAGCTTCCATCTTCCTTTCCGCTTCGCTTTCCCCCGCTTCCCGTCCGCTTCTCCCCCGCTTGCCGTCCTCGTCGGCCGCCCGCAAACCTCCCCACCGTCAAATCCGCTGAGAGGAAGAAGAAGAAGAGGAAGAAGAAGACGAAGAAGAAGAAGCAGCAGCCGGCGATGGCGGCGGTGGTGGTGGTGGTGGCGGCGGGGGCGGTGGAGCAGACATCCAAAACGGGGGCCACCCAGCCGGTCGATTTGGGGAAATTCGCTCGTCCTCCTTCCTGCCTGCTCGCCGATTTCCGTGGCGCTTCTGGTCGTAGCCGCGTTGATTCAAAGCGTTTCGGTTTAATGGCTCTGTCAGGAAATGATATTGCGAAGAGATTTTTTTTATTTTTTTTTATTTTGGGACACCGGACTTCATTAGCAGATGCGTGGATTATGTTTTTTTTTGTTTTTTACTTTGGATACGTAGACAGAGATGGAGAGAGAGAGAGGAGAGAGGAGAGAGACGGAGGAGATCTGCATCATTAGGGCTAGGCGCACGGAATGTAATGATCTGGCCGAAAATCTACGTGGTGAGATTCCCTCCACCACCCGACACAGCCCGCACGACAAATGGGATCGTCACTCAACCAGTGAATGAGTGAGTGAATGAGTGGATGGGTGAGTGAATGAGTTGGGAAGGGAGTGAATCGGTGAGTGGGTGTGTGTTTGGGTGACTGAGTGAGTGGTTGGCTGGATGTGTGAGTGGGTAAGCGGGTGAGTAGGTGAGTGGGTGAGTGGGTGGGTGAATGAGATGTGTGTGAGTGAGAGGGTGTGCATGAGTAAGTTGGTGAGTGGGTAGGTGAGTGGGTGGGTGGGTGAGTGAGTGGTGGGTGGGTGAGTGGGTGGGAGAGTGAGTAGGTGATTGAATGAGTGGTGGGTGGGTGGGTGGATGGGTGAGTGGTGGGTGGGTGAGTGAGTTAGTGGATTGGAGGGTGGGTGAGTGAGTGATTGAGTGAATAAATGAGTGAGTGAGTGAGTGACTGGTGGGTGACTGAGTGAGTGGGTGATTACATGGGTTCGTGAGAAGGTGAGTGAGTGGATGAGTGAGTGAGTGGTGGGTGTATGGGTGGATGGGTGAGTGGTGGGTGGGTGGGTGGGTGAGTGAGTGGGTGGGTTGGTGAGTGATTGAGTGAATGAGTGAGTGGGTGAGTGGGGGAGTGGATGAGTGGGTGGGTAAGCGAGTAGGTGGGTGGGTGATTAGGTGAATGGGTGAGTGAGTGAGAGAGAGTAGGTGGGTGAGTTAATGGGTGGGTCATTGGGTGAGTGGGTGGATGAGTGATTGAGTAGAGGGTGAGTGAGTGGTTGATTGCTTGAGTGAGTGGGTGAGTGAGTGGGTGCGTGAGTGAGGGGTGGATGCGTAAGTTAGTGAGGGAGTGCGTGAGCGAGTGAGTAACTGAGCGAGTGGGTGGTTGAGTGAATGAGTGGAGGAGTGCGTGAATGAGTAGGCGATTGCGTGAGTGAATGGGCGAGTTGGTGTGTGAGTGAGTAAGTGGGTGAGTAGGTACGTGAGTGAGTGGGTAAATTAGTGAGTGAGTGGGTGGGTGAGTAAGTAGGTGGTGGGTGAGTGGGTCGGTGGATCGGTGAGTGAGTGGATGAGTGAATGAGTGGGTGGGTGAATAGATGATAAAAAGTGGGTGAGTGACTGGGTGGGTCAGTTGTTGAGTGAGTAAGCGAATGAGTGATTGGGTGGGTGAGTGGATGAGTGAGTGGGTGAGTGAGTGAGTGGGTAACTGGCTGGGTGAGTGGATCAGTGATTGGGTGAGTGAGTGGGTGACTTGATGGGTGAGTTGTTGAGTGAGTAAGCGAATGAGTGAGTGGGTGAGTGAGTGGGTGACTGGGTGGGTGAGTGGATGAGTGAGTGGGTGAGTGAGTGGGTGACTGGCTGGGTGAGTGGATCAGTGATTGGGTGAGTGAGTGGGTGAGTGAGTGGGTGAGTGAGTGGGTGACTGGCTGGGTGAGTGGATGAGTGAGTGGGTGAGTGAGTGGGTGACTGGCTGTGTGAGTGGATGAGTAAGTGGGTGAATGAGTGGGTGACTGGGTGGGTGAGTGGATGAGTGAGTGGGTGAGTGAGTGGGTGACTGGGTGGGTGAGTGGATGAGTAAGTGGGTGAGTGAGTGGGTGACTGGCTGGGTGAGTGGATCAGTGATTGGGTGAGTGAGTGGGTGACTGGCTGGGTGAGTGGATCAGTGAGTGGGTGACTGGGTGGGTGAGTGGATGAGTGAGTGGGTGAGTGAGTGGGTGACTGGGTGGGTGAGTGGATGAGTGAGTGGGTGAGTGAGTGGGTGACTGGCTGGGTGAGTGGATGAGTGAGTGGGTGAGTGAGTGGGTGACTGGCTGGGTGAGTGGATCAGTGATTGGGTGAGTGAGTGGGTGACTGGCTGGGTGAGTGGATCAGTGAGTGGGTGACTGGGTGGGTGAGTGGATGAGTGAGTGGGTGAGTGAGTGGGTGACTGGCTGGGTGAGTGGATCAGTGATTGGGTGAGTGAGTGGGTGACTGGCTGGGTGAGTGGATGAGTGAGTGGGTGAGTGAGTGGGTGACTGGCTGGGTGAGTGGATGAGTGAGTGGGTGAGTGAGTGGGTGACTGGCTGGGTGAGTGGATCAGTGATTGGGTGAGTGAGTGGGTGACTGGGTGGGTGAGTGGTTGAGTGAGTGAGTGACATGAAATATCAAATCTCGCGTAATAACTTTATTACGGGTGGTGGAGCGTATTGAGGCACGCGTTTGGCCGGATCATCGAGTATCGCTCACGTCATGCAATCGATGGCTACGCACGGTGCGAAAGAAGGGCCAACGTACAGGACACACTTACGTAAGTACAGATAGTCCCCGAGTTACGATGGTCGGACTTACGATATTTCGACCTCACGATGGCGCTAGCGATACGACAAAAATTGTTAAATATTTTAAATTCCGCGCGGCAGGCAAACGCGGCAGCGGACGACGCGTTCAATGCACGTTAAAATATTCTCGTAGCAGATAAGGATTGTTTACTGGAACCCAAAAAAAAACGTTATGTTAAATTGCAGTTCGTATAGGCAGGCTAAGAATTTACCTTGTTATTTTAATTACTTTACATTTTTCGGTGCAATACAGTATTTGTAATTAATAAAAACCTACAGTATATACGTTTTATATACGGTACAATACTGTAAATTGATCTGGATTTTGCTCAATAATCACCATTCTTTAAGACTCCTGGGTAGGCTAAGGCCGTCTTCGACTTACGATATTTTTTGACTTTAACGATGGTTCTTCTTTGGTTCTTTCGGTAAAGTCACCACCCACGTAGAATGAGAATAAAATAATAAATTGATAAAATAAAATAACACAATAATATTCTCACGACGTTTCGGCCACAACACAAGCGGCCTTCATCAGGTGAAGGGGACGAGACTGTCTGGTAGGACAGCGCTGGAGTGTTGTGGTCGAAACGTTCGTGAGAATTTTATTGGGTTATTTTATTTTATTAATTTATTATTGTTATTCTCATTCTACGTGGTGGTGGCGACTTTACCGAAAGAACCAAAGAAGATGAAATCCTTGCAGTCACGAAAGCTTTAAATCGAAATTTAACTATGGTTGTCTGAACGCATCTCCATCGAAATAGAGGACTACCTGTACGTTATACGTATAGACGTACACATGTAGACGCACACATACAGACACACACGCGGATACATACATGCACACGTACACACATACAAAGACAAAGATCCCCCGTGTAGCCTGTACCAGACTGTTGGGCCAAGTGGCTCTTAGGAGCGAGTGGAAGCGCCTATGAAGGATACCAGGCACTGTGGCAAAGGAGGGCTGTGTGGGACTAGCATCACACCAGGCCGCCTACCCAGATGTGATGTTTTAAACACGGCGCTAAAGTACGTGCGTGCACATACACACAAATACACCTACCACTACACACGCGCCTACCACTACACACACACCTACCACTACACACACACCTACCACTACACACACACCTACCATTACACACGCGCCTACCACTACACACACACCTAGCACTATACACACCACTACACACACCTACCACTATACATACACCTACCACTATACAGACACCTACCACTACACACACACCTACCACTATACACACCTACCACTACACACACACCTACCACTACACACACCTAACACTACACACACCTACCACTACACACACACCTACCACTATACACACCTACCACTACACACCTACCACTACACACGCGCCTACCACTACACACGCGCCTACCACTACACACACACCTACCACTACACACGCGCCTACCACTACACACACCTACCACTACACACACGCCTAGCACTACACATCTACCACTACACACGCGCCTACCACTACACACGCGCCTACCACTACACACACACCTACCACTACACACGCGCCTAGCACTATACACACGCCTAGCACTACACACACACCTACCACTACACACACACCTATCACTACACACACACCTACCACTACACAAACACCAA